TAGTCGTCAATTGAATATAGCTGTATCGATTCCATAGGCAATGACACCGTTTCTCTCCTCTTTGCTTCTGAAAATGCAATGAAAATACAAAGAAAAGGTTTACTTAAGATGCTTTTGCCTTGGGGGAACCAGCAGTTAGCGTAATGGCTATGTCGCTGGACTCCCACGTAGTCGACTGTGGTTCGCGTCCCGGACCCAGTGGCTTAAAACTCACGCCGGGTACGTGTGCGTGCGTGCCCAAGATCCCAAGGGGAGAATGGAGGAGAAGGGATTGCAGCGTGGCCATCTCCCCTGGGAGGTGATTTCTCACTTTCTGTCTCTCTGTCTCTCTCTGTCTGTCTGGCGAGCGCACACGCCCTATAGTGAAAACCTCTCAAAAAAAAAAAAAGATGCTTTTGCCTTGTGCTACTGTTGATCATTGGTTTCTTTTGCATAATCAATAAACCTAGTTATTAAGTAATGTTTACAACTTAATTAACTTTGACCGAGAGGTTAACTTGCAAGTTACCTATGGGAGAAACATTCCTTCGTTAAGACTAAGGATGAGCTGTATCGGCTAGACAACAGGCCAGTAGGGGTGAATTTGTAGAAACCAGCTTCCAGGCACTTCTGAGCCCCATGCTGAAGTCCCTCCCGTGACAGACGGTGTAGGAGTCACAAGTCTGTTCATTGGACTGTTCCTTTGCTTGTCTGTTGGCCCTGCTTTCACTCTGTCTTTGTGGATAGTCAGGAAAAGCTTTAATGTTGAGTAGTTCAACAACATATTTAATGTCTACACAGTGTAATTATTCAAATTTCAAGCCAGTATGGAAACCAGCTAATAGTTTCTTAATCTCAGGCTGAGAGATGATTAAACTGTATTCTGTTGAAATGTGCAAGTGTTTGATTCATGCTGCTTGAAAACTGCCTTGAGGTCCTTGTGTAATGACACCCATTTGTAAAGTGTGTAGCCTTAAAGAAATGTTATGCTGAAATATTTGTTTTTATACAACTGAAAGACATGAAGGGGCCGCCTGGAGTTTGGAGTTAGTCCCAGTCTTAGGGAGGACAGGGAGATGACAGTTTTCCAAAGAAGGACCCAACACACACCAAGATGATCATCTATAGGATTGCTGAGAAGGCCTCTCGTCAAAGGTCTATACAACGACAAGGAGGAAGGAAGAGCCCAAAGCAAGGCACGGATTCTACCAGCTAATGAAGAAGAGGGCTGCGGCTCTGTTCATTAAAACCCAAACAGAACGTGCTTCAGGAGCCAAGTTAGCTAACATAATTACTTCTGCAGGAAATGGATGGTAATGCTTCTTTTTGGACTGTGATCTTCTTGCAAGTGTTAGTACAAAATTTTGTCTTCATCCTCATGCTCGTAACGCTCATCCATGGGAGCTGTCTCCACAGTCCCAATGCCTCTGCTTTCTGTCTTTTCTCTTGCAGCATAAGCCTTTTTTGCTTTTGCCTTCAGATCGCCCTGGAGAACTAGCAGGTCTTTTCATTTTGAACAGTTTTGCAGCGTGGATCAAACACTGGCTTACTGTGCTAATGTGTGAAAAAAAAATTATCTAAAGCAGGAGAACTTTAATGAATGATGTATATTTTCTGAGTTTGAGTAAGGGTGTGTGTGGTTTTTGTTTTAATATGAAGCAAGTAAGCCCAGTTCTTACAATGTTAACCAGTTAAGAAGAAACTGCTGTTCATTCTTATAAAGGTACAAATATAAAATTTAGAAAACTAAGGTGGGTTTGTGGAATGTGGTTTTGTTTTATAATAGTGACAAGAATTGGGACCAGCAGTTAGCATAATGGCCATGTTGCTGGACTCCCATGTAGTCAACCTCGGTTCGAATCCCAGACCCGGTGGCTTAAACTCACTCTGGGCGCATGTGCTTGCGTGCCCAAGATCCCGAGAGGAGAATGGAGGAGAAGGGATTGCGGTGTGGCCATCCCCCCTGGGGGGTGATTTCTTGCTTTCTGTCTCTCTGTCTCTCTATGTCTTTCTGGCGAGTGCACGCGCCCTATAGCAAAAAACTCTCTCAAAAAAAAAAAAAAGGAGCAGTACTAGGGAAATTCTAGAAGACGCTGTCATTTTATTTTAAAATGAGAATCTGGTGTTCTGTACTTTCTCATTTTTCAATAAAACGTGAGTGTTCTGCACTTTGGGGGAAAATGTGTAAATCAGTGGACCTTGGTACACTTACAATTGTACAACTACCACCTTTATCTTATTCCAGAATATTATCATTGCCTCCAAAAGAAGTCCTTCACCCTGCAGCAGTCACTCTCCCTCCACCCCCATCCCCGGCCTCCACCAGTCTACTTCCCTGTCTCTGTGGAGTGCCTGTTCTGAAAATGTCATACGAATAGACTTACATTGCATGTGACCTCTGCATCTGGCTTCTCTGACTCAGCACAGTGTGTTCAAGGTGCACTGGTAACGGACCCTGTATCGGAATTTCTTTTTATGGCTGACGAAGTGTTCTAAAATGGATATACTGTGAATATAATGTGTCCTTCCAGTTAGCTGTTGAGGGGTTGTTCTGATTTTTGGTTATTGCACCAGTACAGCTGTAAACTTCATGTTCATGAGTTTTCTTTTGGTTTTTAATTTTTTTTCTGTTTTACTTTTTGATATAGGGCACAGGTGCTTGCCAGAGAGAGGTAGAGAAACAGAGACAGAGAGGGAGAGAGAGAAAAATCATGTCTTCCCCTGAGGGGATGGCCGTCCACAATCCCTTTTCCTCTATTCTCCTCTTGGGATTTTAGGCACATACACATACACAGTGTGATTCTCAAGGTGCTGGACCTGGGACTAAAACCACACAGCTGGCCATGTGGGAATCCAGTACCTTAACCTCCATCTCACCTGTTGGCCTCACGTTACTGTTTTTATATAACGATATTCTTTCCATTTTCTTGGACATGTACACCCGGGAAATAATGGCTGGCTCATATGGTAACTCTATTTATAATGTTTCAGGGAACTGCCAAACTTTCTTCCAAGTATCTGCTTTCAAATACATCTTTGGCTGTATCATACAAGTTTTGAATGTAGTGTTGTCATTTTTGCTAAAATATAATGGGTTTATATATTCTTCCTATTGTCTGTGATCAGATCAGGTTTTGTAAGGCAATTTTCCCTTCCAATCTGAAATTTTATTTTCTGTAGAAAAATTTTTTAGATATATTTTTAGTTCTGCCCAATATTTTTATACTTGAAATATTTACCTGGTAAAAATTTAATATGGTAAGTTTGCTTTGTGATGTAGGCGTTTTTCTTGGCTATGAAATGAGACCTTAAAAGCTCATCTTCTGAAAGGGGTGTGTTTGGTTTGCTTAGTTCCCTTCAGATGTCATGAAAGGCAGATTGAGTGTGCAACCTAACTCTGCTCCTGGTCATGCAACTCTGTTGGTGGTGAAACTCACCGGCTATGTGTGTCTCCAACTCTCACCTCTTTGAGTTCAGGTTTTGCAAGACATTTTGATGCAGTCTGAAGTTTCGTTTTTCCAGGGGTAATAGTAATAATAACAAAGGCACAAAGAGGTTCGTTTGCCAAAATTCACAGTGTTTGTGAGTGGTAGAGTCAGGATTCAACCCAAGCCCTCCTGGACAGCCTGTCTTCTTCACCATGAACTCAAGTGTCTCTAGGCCTGACCTCCCACAACATGAAGTGCTCCCAAGGCTCATCTTAGTGGTCCGAGGTGCTTCTGCACCTGTCTCAGTTGCATGCTGCGACAACCACAGCACCCATTTGTTGTCAGTATGTAAACCTCCAGAACCACCATGTCTGTGAAGGGTCTCCCTCTAGGTCAGATGGATTTAGAGGATTTGTGGAATTTAAGGTCATTCCATTGCTCTGAGTTTCTACAAGGAAGAATATCACACCGACTATGATGACCTGGAGCTACTGAGGCATGCTACTGACGTGCATGATGTGCAGTCTGCTGAAAAGAGTCACTACTGAGGCACGTCAGTTCCTATCTTTCACTCTGGCTGGCAGCATCTCTGTTAGGTGTGTGAGAGTGTTAAGGACAACAGGCACAGAATGGATGCCACTTTGTTGATATTAAAACTTTATGTGCTTTTGTCTTGAAGTTAGCTCTTATTGGGGCCAGCAGGTGGTATGGAGGTTAAGGTGCTGGGTGTAACATGGCTGGGTGTAACATTGCTCCAGTCCTGGACCCAGTAGATTGAAAATCATACTGGACATATGTCCGTGCGTGCCCAAAATCTAGAGAGGAGAATGGAGGAGAAGGGATTGTGATATGGCCATCCTCTCTGGTGGTAGGTGGAGATATTTCTCACTTTTCTTCTCTGTCTCCCTGTCTCTGGTAAAGAGAAAAGAAGAAAGAAAAAGTAAAAGCTCATACTAGAAATTTGGGGACTGGAATTTACTACAATTTGTACAATAGTTGGTGTGTCATAAAAAATGGGATCTGTGTGATGTGGATTCCTTGGCACAGAGGGACCAGCTGATGTGGGCATTTTGTCTGACTTCCAAGGCCTTCATCCAGGGTGTTTCCTGCAGAACCATGGAACCATAGGGCAGGCTCTTGTAGCATGGAATATGGCTGCTCCAGCCAGGCTCCTGAAGGCCACTGATAGTAAGGGTCAGTGGTAGTAAGGGTCAAGGCAGCCATCAGTCCCCAGTGGAAATGGGTTTTCTTTTAGTTCTTTCCCATCAGACCAGGAAATGCCAGGTAGCTGCAGAGGACATCCCTTGAAATATATGGATCATTTCAGTCAAAGGGAGGCTACGGGGTGACTTATAGGAAGCAAAGATTGCTCAGGGTTGTGTTTATTTCTTGGTGGTCTAATTGTGCTCCTTTGGGACTTTCCTGCCAGCTTTGACCCAGTGGGTTTTGAAGGAGAAAAGGTCTGTCATGTGGAAGGTGGTTTCTTCCTTGGCTGTTAGGGGGCCCTGGATTTGGGAGCTGTTCCCAGTGCAGGAAGCCGTGGCCCTGCCCTCGGGTGGGATGGAGACAGGCACATGGATTCGTGTTTTCCAGGCAGCTCCACCGCCTATCCAATCATCGGTCCAGCCAGAGTGAGCGGCATGGAGAGGGACTCACTGAGTGTGCGGTGTCGCTATGACAGCGGGTGGGAGACCTACAGAAAGTGGTGGTGCCAAGGAGCTGATTGGAACAGCTGCAAGATCCTCGTCATAACCACTGGATCTGAGCAGGAGGTGAAGAAGGACCGTGTGTCCATCAGGGATGATCAGGAAAACCGCATCATCACGGTGACCATGGAGAAGCTCAGGAGAGGTGATGCTGATACTTACTGGTGCGGGATTGAGAGAATTGGAGCTGATCACAGGTTCCCAGTTGAGGTGACCATTGACCCAGGTAAGATTGGTCCTTTGTGCACCATGTGACCTCTGTGCTGAAAATGGAGTTCCTGAATAGGGAGAGGAACAGCAAATTATTTAAGGAAAATACAGTAAAAAAATTTTTTAAGCTTGAATAAACCTCAAATATAAGAAACCTGAAGAAACATATACCAAAATACATTCCAATGAAGAGGTCAGCAGATGTAGCAGTTACGTTGCTGAACTCCCACATAGCTGACTGTGATTTGAGTCCTGGAACGGACACCTTGAAACTCACGCTGGGTGCATGTCTTGCATGCCCAAAATCCCAAAAGAAGACTGGAGGAGAAGAGACTGTGGCATGGCCATTCTTTCTAGAGGGTGATTTCTTGCTTTCTGTGTCTCTCTGGCAAGTACACATACCCTATTGCCAAAAATCTCTCTCAAAAAAAATCATAATGAAATCCCTCAAAGGCAGTGAATGAGAGAAAATCTTAAGAGGATCCAGACACATGACACATTATGTACAGAGGAGCAAAGATAAGGATGATGGCAGATTTCTTGTTGGAAACCAACAGAGGTTTTAGACTCCCTTCCCCTGCCCCACCTTCCTCCTAGCAATGAAGTCTTCTAAGCTCTGCCTGAGGGTTACTGTGTGTGTGTGTGTGTGTGTGTGTGTGTGTGTGTGTGTGTATGTGTGTGTGACATCTGAACAAAGACACTGTCCTAGCGCCTCTGTCTTTCATTGCCAGAATCAGCAAACTGGACAAGTCGGGCTTGAAAAATCCAACGACCCCTCCCGGTCACTGGTAGCAGAGCTCAGCCCTCCTGGGAGCTGTACAAGCCTGACGGTCCCACTGCAGTGGGCCCTTGGTTATCACTGGGCCTGTGTGATCCACTTTGAGACCTTTGAAGGGAAAATGAACTTTATTTTTTTCTCTTATTTATTATTTACTATTATTATTTATACATTCGATCACTGTACAACATTTAAATTGTAAAGAGACTTTACCCAGCATGATATACACCCCAGACCAGTACGGTTGAGAATACTATACACGTCCTCATCACCAGGTAATAAACCATATCTGTGTCCACAAATGTCTTACCTCTCTATTGTTATGGACACTGGGGACAAAGTGGGGAAATGAACTTTAATTCCTTCACTCATCAGATATGGAGGACTACCTGGGCACGGAATTCCAGTAAAGAATATCAAAAATTCCTATCTGACATATTCAAGGAGGTCCTGGCTAGGGGTGAGAGGTGAGGAACCATAAACCTGTACCTGTGAAAGTTTTACTAGCAAAAGGAGGAACACATTCCACTGTATCCACGCACCTTCGCCTCATCCCTCTGACCGCCTCTGAGACTTACTGGGAACTCCTTGGTAACGTCAGCTGATCTATGGGGAGGGATGCACACAGAGGCCAGGCAGCAGCATGAGCCCTGCAGGGCTTCCTAGGACGCCCACCCCCTAGTCCAGTCCTGTCTCCATGGAGCAGGAGGGGACTTAGGCAAGAATTCCCTCTCCTCCCTGCACACACCCTCAGCTGCATGTCTGTCTTGCATGTATTTACTTTTGAGAAGATAAAAGACTTTTTACACATTAAGGGAAACTATGGCTCTTCTGATTTAGGCCAAGTAGAATCATAGGGACCAAATTTATCTCCTGTCTTGAATGATAATAAATAAAATAGAGAAAATATGTGAAATTAGGGGTTTCAAGGCATTAGGCATTGGGCAACAATTAACAGTGATCCATTAGAGAAAGTATTGGGTTTTCAGGAACGTTGTGACACATTTTTGCATAGAAAAATATGACATGACTTTTCCAACAACCTTATAGACAAAAAAAGGTGAGCCTGGCATACTGCCGGAGAATTTCCAGATTGAGATACAGAGATGGGGAACTCAATTGGCTCTTGGCAGAATTCCAGTTCTGGGGAAACAGTAGTTAGAATCCGGGAAGACAAAGCTGTTCAGAGTTCACAGGACAAAGGACCAGAGAGGAAAGAGTCAGAAGAGTGGTAGTCCCGGCGGTCTGTGGAGGGGCGAGAGATGAAGAACGTGCTCATCAGCTCCTATGTAAGAGGACTACCCAGGGTCGGTCGGCCAGACACACCCAGAGAGACTAGAGCAGTGCCTAGTTCTCCTGCTGGGCCGGGATTGTGCCTGTGCCCATCAGCCAGACCTGCAAATGCATAACTCATGGAGCTTAGGGCAGGTTGTGCATTAATGTTTGGCCTCAGTAGTGGGAAATAATTAGTTCTACACTAAATGTTGTCTTAATATGGCCTTAAAAGCTTATAAGTAATGGATGGCATGGTGGTTAAGGAGCTGGAGTCTACATGGATGACTGCATGGTTTGAGTTCTGGACCCGGTGGCTCGAAAATCATGCCAGGCATGCACGCATGCATGCTCAAAATCCAAATACGAGAATAGAGGGAAAGGGATTGTAGCATGGACGTTCCCCTTTGGGGGAAGGGACGATCTCTCAATTTCCCTCTCTTTCTCTTGCTCACTCTCTCTGTCTGTCTCTAGTGAGCACGTACATACAATAGCAAAAACAAAAACAAAACAAAACAAAAGAACAAAGAAAAGAAATAACTCTTCCAAGCATATCTTAAAAGAGAAACTCATGATGAAGGAATAATTAATCAATTATGATCAATGAATTGAATCAACCCCAAACTCACACAAATGTTAAAATCAGTAGAAAAGAAAATCAAAAGTTATGACAATTACATCCCATATGTTCAAAAAATTAAGTGGAGTCATGGCACATATAAGGTATGTGTGGAGGAGTGGGGCCTAAGGAAGGACATTTGGAGGAGGGATACGGAGGTAGAGCATTGACGGGATGGGGAGGCGTGGTGTTATCTGTTGAAGATATTTTGATCAACAGGACTGGGGAGAAATGTTCACATATTGAAATGTTCACATTGTAAGCTAAACAATGTGATTGAATGTATATAAAAAATTGAAAAAATTAATAAAAAAATTCAAACTTATTTTTTCTTTTTGGAGAGATTTTTGGTATGGGGCATGTATGCTCACTGGAGGAGCAAAGAGAGGCAGAGAAGCAAGAGATAAACCATCCCCAAGGGGGGATGGCCACACCACAATCCCTTCTCCTCTTGGAATTTTGAGCATGCAAGCACATGCACCCAGTATGAGTTTTAAGCCACGCAGGTAGCATTTGAACCACGATCAACTATGTGGGAGTCTAGCAATGTAACCATTACACCATCTGCAGGTCCCCAAGTTCAGACTTTTAAAGCTGCAAACTGTAATTACCTGAGATGAAAAACACACTTGATGAGGTCAGTGGCATATTAAATATTACAGAATAAAAAATAAGTGAATTTGAAGAGAGCAGTAGTATCCAAAATGAAACACAGAGACAAAAAGAATTTTAAAATGATCAGAACGTCAGTGAGCTGTAGTTCAGCTTCAATCAACCTAATAGGCGTGAAATTGGAGTCCCCGAAAAGGAAGAAGGACAGAAACACTGTCTAAAGAAATTGTAAAACCTGATAAACACTATCTTCCCACAATTCTATATTTAATGAATATCAAGTACAAGAAATCCGGAGAAATCTATACCAAAATACATTATAATTAAATTGCTCAAAACCAGTGTTGGAGAGAAAATCTTAAGAGCGTCCAGAGACGTAGTCCATTATGTGTAGAGGAACAAAGAGAAGGATTACTGCAGATTTCTTATAGGAAACGAGGCACAAGAGAAGACAGTGGGACATCTTTAGAATTAAAAGAAAAAAAAATAAAACCTATCAACTTGAAATTTTTTTTTTAATTTGCCAGAGGGCATGTGCACTCACCAGAGTTAGAGAGAGTGTGGGGAGTGGGAGGGCATCTTCCATTATGCACCGTCATGGCACAATCCCTTCTCTGTTTCTCCCTCCTTTTGGGATTATGGGCATACACACACATGCACCTAGCATGTTTTTAAGTCACTGGGTCCAGGACTTGAGCCACATGGTTGGCCATGTGAGATCTAGTCACCTTAAACACCAGGTCATGAGCTGGTTCCAATTCAAGATTTTAGATCCACTAAAATTTTTTTCATAAGCTAAGGTAAAATAGAGACATTTTTTCAACATACAAACTTTGAAAAAAGAAAGATTTTCAGAAGATCTATACTCCATACTACAAAAGAAAGTTAAAGAAAGTCAGTGAGCAATTATGCTAAGAGAAATTATGCTAAGGCAGATTCAGTAAGACAAATGCCACATGATTTCATTTATACATAGAATCTAAAAATGTCAAACTCAAAAAAAAAAATAAAAATGTCAAACCCATAGAAGTACAGAGTAGAATGGTATTTATCAGAGGTTGGAAGAAGGATGGGGTAGGGAACATGGAGAGGCTATTCAAAGTGTACAAAGGTTTAGTTAGAGAGCAGAATTAAGTTTCCGTGATCTATTACACAGGGACTATAGTTAATAGTTCTCATTAATAATGATGAACATTTCAAAATTGCTAAGAAAGTAAATTTAAAATGTCCCATCATGGGAACCAGCAGTTAGCATAATGGCTATGTCGCTGGACTCCCACGTAGTTGACTGCGGTTTGTGTCCCGGACCCGGAGGCTTGAATCTCACGCCGGGCGTGTGTGCATGCGTGCCCAAGATCCCGAGAGGAGATTGGAGGAGAAGGGATTGCGGCGTGACCATCCCCCCTGGGGGGTGATTTCTCGCTTTCTGTCTCTATCTCTCTCTCTGTCTGTCTGGCGAGTGCAAGCGCCCTATAGCGAAAATCTCTCAAAAAAAACAAATGTCCCATCATGATAAAATAATTAGTAAATGAGGTGATAGATATACTAATTATCTTGATCTAATAATTCTACATTGTATACACACATCAAAATATCAGATTATACCCTGAAAATATGTACAATTATGATTTGTCAATTGAAAATAATATTAAAAAAAGAACGACAAGGAAGCCATTAAGGCAGAAGAAAAATAATACCAGAGGAAATGTAGTAGACATAAAAAATATCAGAAATAGTAATTATTTATGTATAGAAGATTTTTAAATTTACATTTCTTTTAAAAGATAATTATTGGACAAAAGCTACAATGCATCTGTATAATTTTTAGTATATGAATGAGTAAAAGACGAAACATATATGGCATAAAGACTGAAGGGGGGAAGTGAATGTATACTATTAAAAGGTTCTCATACTAACATGAAATGGTATAATATACTTGGATATTGATTGTTATTAATGAAAAATGTTTATTAAGTCCTTAATCAGCCACTAATATAACAAAACAAAGAGTAATAGCTACTAAATCAATAAAGGAGATAAAAGACTCATTTAAAATAACCTCGATAAATTTGGAGACAGCAGGTGGCATGGTAGTTAAAGCTCTGGACTCTCACATGTTTGACTGCTGTTGGAGTCCCAGACTTTCAAGCCCAAGGTGGCTTGAAAATCATGCCAGATGTGTATGCACGTGTACCCAAAAGCCCAAGAGGAGAATGGAGAAGAGACGGTAGCATGGCCATTCCCCCTAGGAGGTGATTTCTCACTTTCCCTCTCTCTGTGTCTTTCTATCTTTCTCTCTGGCAAGCACAAGCACCCTATGACCCAAATCTTAAAAACAAAAACAAAAACTCAATAAATTCAAAAGAAAGCAGAAAGAAAAAATGAACAAAAAATAGATAGAATAAGTTAGAAATGAATTGTGAGATTATAGAAACCTAACCAAATCAGTAATTATATTAAATATAAACATTTAAACACACCAATTAAAAGGCAGAGATTATAAGAGTTTTTTTTTTTAAGATGTATTTATATACGACCTATAAGAAATGTACCTTATTGCCGTGTCTTGAACAGCTAAATGAATACATGCCTGACTGAGGAGAGGGGGTGTGGATTAGAGAATAAGCATAAAAATAAACACATAAACACATTTAAGTATAGAAAAGCGGGGATGGGAAGGTAAGCATGGCTCCAAACTGGTCCCAGGTTTATTCTTTTAGAAGACAAAAAATAAAATAAGAAAAAGTAAAATATAAAGCCAGTTGTTTTTAAATGTTAATCAGCTAAAGATATAAAGATACCTGGTGCCATATAGTTCTTTTTAAAAAATATGTTTTTAATTTCAAGAAAGGCAGTCTTAGCTTTAATAAATCAAAATCAAAAAATGTTCAGATAACTTCACTTAAGACTTAAAGCCAGGAAGCAGGTTAGGATTCTGTTCATATAGTAGCCATATAGTTCTATGTAAGTTTTTTCTAATCTTTTGGAGGCCATTTTTTAATTAACACGTGATTTTCTTTAAACTGATACTGTTCTGTAATTTTGAACCCAGCTAGTGTTTTTACACGTTGATGGTGTCATAGCTTCACAAATAAACTGTCCATAAAAATCACATTTCTATGTATGCTTTAAAGTTACCATGTTTATTAAGATTAGCTGCTCTCTACACTTTATTATTTATTTTATTTATTTTTAAAGAGATTTTTCTATAGGACACGTATGCTTGTTGGAGAGACAGAGAGAGACAGAAAACCAGAGAACAACCCCCCACCCCACCCCAGGGGAGATGGTCATGCTGCGATCCCTTCTCCTCCATTCTTGTCTAGGGATTTTAGGCATGCATGCCCACATGCCCAGCGTGAGTTTAAGTCTCCAGGTCAAGGACTCGAACTGTGGTCAACCACATGGGAGGTCAGTGATGTAACCATTGCGCCAACTGCTTGTCCCACTTTACTATTTTTTAAAGTTTACTTATTTCCTCCATGAGAGAGACAATGGGAGAGAAAGACGGTCTCCACCAGAAATGTTCTTACTCCATGATCCACATCCAGTTTATGCTGGCCCAGATCACAGGCATGCAGTACACATCTGGTGTGCCAGGGAAGCTCCTGGACATTAACCCAGGACTACTTCCATGTGAGTCCAGTTACTCTACCATCATGACATTACCCAGCCAAAGAAATACACTTGATTTAGTTAGTTTTTGCATGATATCGCAAAGAGAATATTTAATCCATATGTTGCTGTGCAGCAAAAACAGAAACACGTGACAACACCATCCATGTACATTAAATTCAGGAGACAGAAGTAAGCTATGGGATGGAATTCATCATTTGTGAATAACAAAATTATATTTTAAAAAACACGTGACTACTTTTGTCCAAAGTTTATTTAAAAGTAAAAATATGGAGAAAGATATACCATGCTAAAAATAATCAAAAGAAATCTGGGGGATCAGCAGGTGGCATGGTGGTTAAGGGCACTGGGCTCCCTCATGGCCAACCGCTGTTGGAGTTCCAGACCTGGTAGCTTGCTTTCTCATTTTCCCTCTCTCTCTCTCTCTCTGTCCCTCACTGTTCAAATGAAAACAAACAAACAAATAAATAAAGTTAAATCAAATAATTATTTTTTAAAAAGAAAGAAATATGGAATGACTATATTATTATCAGACGAAGAAAGACTCTTTTGCTAGTGATAAAAAGGTTATTTCATAAACATACAGAGGTCGATTTATCAAGAAGACACAACAATCTTAACTCTTTAAATATCTCATCACAGAGCTTCAAAACACATGAAACAAAAACTGCTAGAACTACCAGGAAAAAGGGACAAATACACAATAATACCAGATATTTTAATACTTGTTCAATGATTGACAAAGCAAATAGAAAATTAGTAAGGATATAGTGGACTTAAGCAACACTATCAACCAGATTTCTCTGAATGACATTTATTGGCCTAACAGCAGCAGACTATACATGCTTTTGTATAGTGTAAGAGGAACTTTACAAGATAGGCCATAAAACCTCTCTTAATAAATTTAAAAGGACTCAAGTCATATAAAGTACATTCTCTGATCACAATGGAATTAAACTAGAAATAAATAAATAAATAAATAAATAAATAAATAATAAACAAGTTTTTAGAAAATTCCCAAATATTTAAAAATCTAACAAGTCAGTTCTAAATACCCATAGGACAAAGCAAAAGTAAAAAGGAAATTTATAAAATATTTTGAATTGGGTGAAATAAAAATACAGTGCATCATAATTTGTGGGTGCTATAGTCTAAATGCTCGTGTCCCTCCCAAATTCACAGGTTGGGTTCTTTGTTTTTTTTAAGGAATTATTTATTTAATTATATTTATTATTATTATTATTTTAATTTTTCTATAGGACATGCGTGTGAGAAAGAGAGAGAGAAACAAGCCGTTAAGTCCAGGACTCAAACCAGGGTCGACCATGTGAGTCTAGCTCTGTAACCACCTTGCCACCAGACTGTTCCCATAGGTTGAGTTCTAATCACTGAGGTGATGACATTAGAAAGAGGAGCCTTTGGGAGGTGATTAGGTCAGGAGGGCTATGTATATACATTGCTTCTTAGTTTGCTTCTCAGAATTTCTCATATGGCGTTCAATAGTTTTTGTTTAGAAAAGAATTAATATAATGTTTTAGATGCTAACCAGGTAGTTTTGGTTGCCAAAAGAGAAGCTCCTTGGGACCAGCAGACGGTGTCATGGTTATGGTGCTGGACTCCCACATGGCTGACTGTGGTCTGAATCCCGGACCCAGCAGCTTGAAACTCAGGCAGGGCATGTGTGCGTGCATGCCAAAAATCACAAGAAGAGAATGGAGGAGAAGGGACTGCAGCATGGAGGAGTGATTTCCTGCTGTCTCTCTGTCTTTCTCTGTTTCTCCAGTGAGCCCACATGTCCTATAGAAAAAATCTCTTTAATAAAAGAGAGAGAGAGAGAAGCTCCTGAATATGTAGAGTTGAGCCATCCACAAAGAGTGACCTGTGTTCTACTTTGTGTATTTAACTACAACAAATTTACCCACAGTAAGGACAACCACTCTGGAGTTCACACTCGCAACTACTGAGAAGACCGTCAGCAGCCCACCAGGGACTCACACCAGCAGGTGAGCAGAACTGGGTCCTGCAGCCTTCGCCCTGGCCTGGCCTGTGGTTGTGTTTCATCTGGCAAACTTCTGGGAGGGCTGCTGGATGAGACACAGATGCCCAGTTAAATTAGATTTTTTTGGTCATAGGGTGTGTGCACTTACCCGAGAGGGAGAGAAAGCACCCTCCAATGAGGGTGATCACATCGCAGTCCTTTACCCTCCAGCTCTCCATCCCATCAGGGTTTGGCATATGTGCACACACATCTGTTGTGCTTTTCAAGCCACTGGGGTTGGGATTTGAACAACAGCTTGACTGTGCCCTCCAAGGGGCTATCCTGCTGAGGTCCTGAGCTTGCCCTGTGTGTTATTGTGCCAGGATATTGGCACAGGGACAGCTGGGAAGACCTGGGCCCAGGAGGCAACTCACTATCACTGTGTTCCCACAGGTCCCTGCTCAGCAGCATCCACTTCCTGCTCCTGGTCTTCCTGAAACTGCCCCTACTACTGGGCATGCTCAGTGCTGTGCTCTGGGTGAACTGGCCTCTGAGGGCTCCTCGTGTGGAGACAGAGGCATGAGAATCCCCAACTCCCCATGCCCAGTGAGACCCTGTGGGGCACGCATGCTCATACACCTGCCAAGAGATTGTGATAGGCAGTTAGCTAGAAATGGGTGGGCAGCCCTAAGAAAATAGCAGAAGGACACCTGTGACATCAGTCACAGCTCGTCAGAAGTTGCAGCCAGCCCCTCTGCAGAGACTCCTTCATCTTTCCCAACTCCCAGATCCGGGAAGGGGAGACAGATCTCATTTTGCTCTTTAGTACATGAAAGACACATAGAGACATTTGTTAATTTCCCTCATATTACTCCTCATAAATACAAAAGGACCCAACAAGATGTTTTATGCCCAATTAATTTATGACCCACTAGGGGTTCATCCATGCTCATATCAAGGTCCACACTGGGCACACACAATTAGGCAATCAAATTCCTCAAATTCTTCCTCTACAAGAGACATGCACAAATGCAGGAGGAAGCCCAGGAATTCAAAGAATATAGATACCATGACAGAACTCCCACTGCTAAAAACTCATTACCACCTCTAGCAGTAAAAGTAATACCTGATCTCTTCCAAATGGAGTTGCTGCCTAGCGACCTGCCCACTCCAAAGTCTTTCATGTTTTTTTATTTCATGTCTTAGGGCGGATCTTCAATCTTAGAGTTCTGGACCTAAAGAACCTAAAGGGTTTTACACAGCACAGCTCAGCATTCTCCCATCCTGTATCAAGACTCTGGGTTCCAGTGGGCATGGGGAACTGCGGGTCTCACACAGCCCCTAGAACTGGAGAAGATGGAACTTCTGACCCTGAACCATAGAGCCCCCTTCATCTCATCACCAGAACCTCAAAAAAGTCTTGCAAATAAAATATTTCACATGCACAAAAGTATGTAGACAACCTTCAGTTTAAAGACTGAACATAAACATATGTGCTCACCATCTGGACTTAAAAATTGAACATTATTAAGACTTTTGAAGGCCCCTGTGCCTCTCTGACATCATTTCTGTCCCTTGCCTACTCTCAGAGTTAACAGATATCTAGATTTTTGGCAGTAATCATCCCCTTGTTTTTCTTCAGTGCTCAGAGGAAAGGCCTGGTTGTTTTTGAATTTTGCACAAAGGAAATCCCAGTCTCAAGTTCACCACTCAGCAGCCATATTGGCTGTGTCCTCCTCTCTCAGGGATTGCAGGCGACTCCCTACAAGGCCACTGTAGGGAGCGATCAGATCTGGAAAGGTCTCTTTGAAGCAGATATGGTCTGTGGGCTGATGGTGCGGGGCAAGCGAAAGCTCTAGCAAGCACATGATCTACTGTTGCACCACAGGGCAGTGTAAATTAAAGGGAGCTGAGTGTCAGCCAGAGAAGGCCAGGAGAGACTTGTTTAGAACCACGGGACACAAGATGCTCCGCAGCTGCAGTCAACCATAGAAAATACCTGGCTCTCGGGACCAGCAGTTAGCGTAATGGCTATGTCACTGGACTCCCACGTAGTCGACCACGGTTTACGTCCTGGACCCAGTGACTTAAACTCACTCCGGGCGCATGTGCGTGCATGCCCAAGATCCCGAGAGGAGAATGGAGGCGAAGGGATTGCGGCGTGGCCACCCCCCCTGGGGGGTGATTTCTCACTTTCTGTCTCTCTGTCTCTCTCTGTCTGTCTGGCTAGTGCACGCGCCCTATGGCAAAAACCTCCCCCACCCCCAAAAAAAAGAAAGAAAAAAGAGGGGGGGGGTGATTTCTCGCTGTCTCTCTCTGTCTGTCTGGTGAGCGCACGCGCCCTATAGCAAAAACCTCAAAAAAAAAGAAAAGAAAAGAAAAGAACAGACCTGGCTCTCCCTTCTGTTTCTCCCTTCCCCATTGCTTAATTAAAGAATGAACCTGGGGTGGCTCAGTGCCACAGTGATCTCCATCAGAGACGCCTGGACAACCCAATCCCCGCTTTTTTCTACTTGTGTGTCTGTCTGTGGTTTTTGTTTTTTGTTTTTTTTTGTATCCACTACTGCTCCCACTCAAGGTCTGTATCCACACCTCATGGGAAGAGGCAAGTGGCGCCTAACCTGGGGCAAATAAATGAACAAGGAACTGAGTACGGCAGAACTACAAAGGATAAGGCAAGTGGACACTCCTGAGTTCAGGCCTGGGATTGAAAGACGAGGAGTGCATTAGAGTTGGGTGGAAAACATGGGGACGACGTTGTCTAAAGACATTATATATATATATATATATATATATATATATATATATGTCCAAAAGTTGTTTTGTATGTTAACATCTAGGGGTGACAAAGTTGGTATCAAGCAGTTCCATCAATTCTTTGACTTCGTGCAGGAAGCATACCTCTGGTTCCCAGAACAGGGAACATTAAATTAACAAACCTGGGACAAAATCAGAGAATAAATTGGGGAGTGATATGCTACAGAGAGACCAGGCAGGATCCCTATTTTCTGCTTTTTCCTTGTGGAATTTAATTAAGGAATGTTTGAGGTGAGACCCTGCGGAAGATCCAGGAGGTTGCTCAGTAGCTCAATTAAAAGATACATTGGAGAGATATACTTCCTTGCTGCCTGATGAGCCGGGAATTGTCCTGAAATGGAAGTTAGCAAAGCAGCCATGGATAGTGAAGATGACAATCTCCCAGATCTGAGTAGACTGGAGCTTGTGGTTCCTGACAGAACTAAGTTGAGAAAAGACAAGGGGCGGGGGGACACGTCCCCTTGGCTCTGTGCCCTGACCCCCCAGAAATGTTTACTGCTCTTCTTCTAGAGCCTCCCGGCAGGGAAGGATACATAAGGAGAGGAAGGTCCCCTCTGCACTTGACCCCCCTTCAGAGAGCACTACGTGGTGCAGTGGAGACCAGGGAAGACGTCTCAGGATTGAAACGAACATATCATCATGGAGAGTCCAGATCCTAATAACCCGGAACAAAAATACACCAGCATGACCTCATGTCCTTTAAAATTCTAAAAGAATTAAAAACGGCTTGCACGCAGTCTGGTTCTGTGGCACTGTATATAACGGCTCTGTTAGAAACAGCTACTCAGCCAGCATTTCTGCCAAATGATTGGCAGGTGTTAGGCAAGGCATGCTTGGCTGGAGGTGATCATCTTTTATGGACAGCGGATTGGTTTGAAGAAGTCCAAGAACAGGCAAATCGAAACCAACAACAGGGAGTTCCCATCACGTTTGAAGTTTTGACAGGGATGGGCAGCTTCTCTGATACTGTCGATCAGCCTGGATACTCCCTACAAGCGTATCAGAAAATTAATATAATCTGTTTGAGATCTTGAGGAGACTTCCAAGAAAATCAGGTCAAGCAACTTGTCCAGTATCCAGCAGGGGCCCAGTGAGCCCGACTAAGATTTTGTATCATGTTTGGCACAAGCCATAGGGAGGGTGATTTCCAACCTGGAAGCAGGACAATTTTTGTTAAAACAATTGGCTTCTGAAAATGCTAACGCTCCCTGTAGGGTCGCCATTAGCCCGTATCGGATAAAGGGTAAAATAACTGATTACCTTAAACTATGTCAGGGTAATGGGGTCTTGCAAATTCAGGGTATGGTTCTGGCTTCCACTTTAAAGAAAATAATCCAAGGGGCCAGCACATGACACGATGGTTAAGGATGCTGGGCTCCCACGTGACCAACCATGGTTTGAGTCTTGAACCTAGTGGCTCGCTTCCTCACTTTTTTTCTCTTCCTCTCTCTCTCACTCTTGTATGTCTCTGGTCAAATTAAAATAAATAAATAAAGTTAAAGTAATTATTTTTAAAAAAGAAAGAAAGAAAATAATCCAAAGCATGTTAAGAGATAACTGGTTTAATTGGTGCAGGACGGGACACTTTCCTTCACCATCATGTGCCCAAACAACTGGGGATCTCTACTTCTAAAATAAAAAGGAGCCCAGGGCAAGTGCCAGAACATGCCCCTGGTGCCAGACAAGTGGGCATTGGGCTAATGAATGCAGGTTCAGAGCAGATAGAGATGAAAAGCCTCTTCCACCCCTGGGAAATAGGAAGAGGGCCAGCCCTGGCCTCACCAAATAATAGGGGCAACTGTGGCATCTCTTTCGACATCAGCCAACCACAGATTTAGATAGAGGATATTTGCTGGCCACCAACAATCAGAGATCTCTATCGGACAACCTCAGGTAGTGCAGGACAGGACCTCATCCCACCTCCAGATGGGTACAGCACCTAGTATGGGTCCACAGGTGATTTCTACTGGGGTTTATGCACATTTGCCACAAGGTATGGTAAGATTAATTTGGGGAAGGAACAGTATGCCATTACAAGGATTAATAGTAATGCCAGGGATAATAAATGCAGATTATTCAGGTAAAATCAAGCTTTGCCCTCTAAAATGATTTAACTTCTTGAATCTGACCATGTGGCACAACTTGTGCTGTTGCCTGCAGTCTTAAAAGGACAAGTATTGAGCACAGAGCCTAGAGGACCACGAAGATTTGGATCCTCAGACCAGGCCTACCTTCCTCAGCCTCTCTGAGAAACTCGGCCCGTGTCTATCTAACCTCACAAGGGACTTTTAGATACTGGTGCTGATGTTTCAGTAATAGCCCAAAAACACTGGCCCAAAAACTGGCCCCGTGAATTTACTAACTTTACACTGGAGGGCTAGAATATGTTAATTCACCAACAAAGAGTTCTGTTATTCTTACTTGGACAGATGAGGAGGGTCATACAGACGGTTTCAACCCTAAGTTTTGTCTGACATGACTTTGAACTGATGGGGGCCAGATGTACTTCAAAAAATGGGGTTGTATTTATTTAGTCCTTCATCCATGGCTCGAATGATGCTGAACTAGGGTCTTCTACCATTTCAGGGTTTGGGAAAGATGGTCCCGTATGCTGACATTTCAAAATGTAGACAACAAAATGATAGAGTACTCAGACTTCTCATCAAGAGAAGAACACTACTGTCCAACGGCTAACTCGCCTTCCTTCCCTTTCTTCTCTTTCTATGGGAGTTAACCCCAGAGGTTGAGCCTCCAATCACATTTGGCAAATGGATGTAACCTATCCTGCCCCTTTTGGGTGACAAAGTTACTTACATGTCACTGTTGGTACCTACTCAATAGGTTTCATTTTTGCTTCCCGTTTGACAGAAGTGACCAAACATGTCATCGCACATTGTCTTGCAGCAATAGCAGTAATGGGAAAACAGATATATAAAAATGGACAATGGCCCAGCTTGCACATGACACGTCCATGTTCTTCTTACTACGGGCATACCTTACAATTCTCAAGGTCAAGCAATAGCAGCAAGGGCCAACCAGTGTTTAAAAAAAACAATTAGAAAAAGGAAAAGGGGGGGACAGGGTAACCCCTGTAACTCCTCACCTCTCCCTTATATACTTTACATTTTCTGAATCCCACATCAGAGGACCTCACAGTTGTGGAAATTCATTACCAAGGGATAGAAAAAGTTAAACCTCAATATACAAAATGAAAAGATCTCGGTTAAGGAGAACGGAAAGGATCCGACCCCGTGTTAGCGCAGGGTCGAGGGAGTGTTTGTATTTTCCAGAATCATTGCTGAAACCAGTGTGGGTTCCAGCTCGACTTGTGAGGCCATTGAACCCTGGAAGACCCAGAGGGTAAGTCACTGAAATGGATACAGAAGAGGGTGCAGGACCAAGTCTGAACAAAGTACCCAAGAAAGTGAAGAAAACAGTTGACCCAACCCCCTACATGGGGACAGATGAACCGTCTGACCAGGAAAGCAGAGCAACCAGTAAGAGGCCAGAGTGCTGACTACGGCTTCTCCATGGCTGTTGGCCGTGATGAACATATTGGCTACACAGTCTTCAGAACCACCCAGGAAGAACTCCACACAGCAGCTCCTCAGCTCC